AGGGCACACCACACTACATCAAAAATAAGCACGGTACAAATTGTGACAGGGAAGGCGTGATAGGAGGATATAGGAAATGTGAATAGCCCAGGGCAGAGGGAGAGATAGCACAACTGTTTAGCACACGTTTGGTCAAAGGATGTGGCTTACTTTTCTCTTTGACGAGTTGTAATATGGTGCTACGAATGGCGAGACTCACTGACAATGCCGGCGAAACGTGTGGGAATGTATCACGTCCGACTTTGGAAATTATTATGAATACACTGGACTCCGGACTAGGTGCGTTCCTCTAAGTCTTCCAACCAATATGGCCAAGTTGCGAAAACATGGTCAAACAACTTCTATAAAGGTTAATTCATATACTTTTAGCATTATGATGGTTGTAAAAGGAGACCGTTTAAATGCTTGCAGATTAAGAAAACCTTACAGCATGCACTTTTCCACAAGATTCTTTCGCATATGACTTTTTCCTCTTCGTCCCTATAATAAATATGTAGTCTTTACTATTCACTATAAGTCACACATTCGTTTCCATATAGGAAAGATATAAATATTCCTAAATGTTCTGAACAGCCGCGTTAAATTTATACTTTGTCCTTCTGGCAGATCTTATCAGCGAACATCCCCAGCATGGTTAGCGGCCGATGATATCCGATTAAGAATCTCGTATATCAAGATATTCCAATTAATAAATGGCTTGTAAAACCTTCTTCCGAATAGATTGTGCAACTAAACGTAGGCGTTCATCTTTATAAACGTGAAATAAAATTTTCGATACATCCAAGATGTAGACCTGTGAGATAAGGAACCTAGACCCTTGTTGAGTAGTACATTGACTGGACTCGAATTCATTTTTCCAGCTATCGCTTCATAAAAAGGTGCTGGTGAAGGATAAGAAGGAAATATGTTCAATATGAGAAAAAGCGTCTGCGACAATGTCCGTATCTTTTACATAGCGCAAATCACTGATGAACTGTATAACGTTGTTCATCCGGAGGACCTAGTGTGGGGAATATTGGTCTAGAGTTAGACAAAGGCTTGTGGTCGGTAAAGTGATAAAAGTAGTCTAGGATAAAAGATACAAACTGTCATTACTACGAAGAAGTATCGTATAGGACGCAAGCAAATCGTAGCATCCAGGTAAAGATAATTTTTAGGGGCTTCCGTTAAAAAGAAAGACGAATGAGCATTTGGTTCACATAATTAACTAAAACCCTTTGCACTATTGATCAAATCCGAACCGAGGTTGAAGATTATTCGAGGTATACATTCAGGTAAGTTTTGATATAAGAAAATTATAATTCGAAAATGGAGCGAAACATTCCAAGGTCCCAAATAGGTCTGTCTTTTCCTAGAGACGAATAGATTGCAATGGCAAGACATTAAAATATAATCGTATCGTCTATAGGCTTGGCAGCTTACCGTAATGATTGCGTCCGTCTGAATGTACTTGAGACCTCCTCGGTGGCCAAGGTCTCGTTGTACGGCCGAAACAATGCCCATGGTTAAGGAGTTGGAAAGATTCAGAGGGCTGCCCAGTGCAATAACGAGCTGGCCGGGTCGGACAGGATTCTCTTCGCCGGCTAACGGCAGAAAAGGTAACTGGGACAGTCGAACAGGATCTGCCTCAAGCTGGATAAAAGAGAAAAGATGGGAAAATATGTGGCAAAAATTATTTATACTAATACTCATTTTCACAGAGAAAAGGAGCCATTCAGGCTCTAATGCTAACTCTGGAGAAGCATTGCAAGATTACGGAGGGGGATTAAGTTGAATATAGCCTCCATTCTAAGACTCCTTAGGCTATTCATGTCTATAAAATAGTTCACTGTTGACGGCAAGTTTTATGAACAGAAACAAGGACTTGCAATAGGTTCTTGTTTAGCTCCAATAATGGCGAATAACTACATGGCTAAGTTTGAGTAATACTTAATGAAAGAGCTAATTCTGACTCTTAAATTGATTGCTAGGTATATGGATGATTATTTTGTGATCTGGACTCATAGTAAAGATATTTTAGATAGTTTCCTATTTTCAACTAACCAACGTGAAAGAAATAATAAATTCACAATGGAATTAGTAAAAAATAGGACATTGTCCAATATGGGCATTATGGTTATTAGAGAAAATGTTAAGGTAGACAGAGATGTTCGTAGGAGACCATCATATGGTGATTTTTTTCTAACCATAGTTACAAAAGTGAGGTTGGAATTTTAAAATCTATGATTATTAGGAGTATGAGGCTTGTAGATGAAAATTATCTGACAGAAGAGTTAAGAAGACTAAGAATTTTATTCCTGGAGAATAATTATCCTTTGGGATTAATTGATAATAATGTATCTTTAATGAGGAATAAATTTTCAGGCGTAGACTATTTAATCAGAGAGGTAAGCTGAAACTCTTTCTTATGTTCTAATCTTGCCATCATGTTTTCTTTTCA